TATTTTCACAAAACTACCTAAGTGATTTTAACTGATAACAACAAGTTTTAAGCTATTAAAACATTTGACAAAAATTCCCTTAAGTTGTTTTAATCGATTAATTCGATGTTATATTGATTAAAATTCTGGCAAAACACTTTTCAAAACATCTCAAGTGATTTTAATCGATTTTTTCGAAGTTACATCGATTAAAATACTGATAGAATATTTTTCAAAATATTTCAAGTGGTTTTAATCGATTAATTCGAAGTCACATTGATTAAAATACTTGACAGAACACTTTTCAAAACATTTTAAGTGATTTTAATCGATTAATTTGAATTTGTACCGATTAAAATACTGTCAGAACACTTTTCAATACATCTTAAGTGATTTTAATCGATTAATTCAAATCTATATTAGTTAAAATACTGTCAGAAGGTTTTCAAATACCCCTTTAATGAAAATAATCGATTATTTCATTAACATATCAATTAAAACTTTGTTATAAATGTTCCTAACTCATTTTAATTGATAAAGCTCTTTTAGTATAAGTTAAAACTATTTCTTAAGAACATTTTTAATCATTTACTTTGGTTTTTAACATATTAAAATATCTCTAGAGGCATTTTCAAATTCTTTCAAACGATGAAACTTCATGCAGTAGAAAGATATGAATGAATACCTATTAATATTGATGATGACTCACTAAATACTCTACCCTTAAACCCAAGTAGCCTTTTACTTCATCAAATCCACAAGATCTTCTTTCTATCATAAAGTTCAATAAGATCTTCATCACTTTTACTCTTATGTAAAAAGTTTTTCTTTTTATTTTTGTTTTACCCTAACGCACAATTTTATTAATTCATTAAGATCTTGGTAGGGTAGTAACTCCACTCGGTCCCTTATTTCTAGGTTAAGGCCACTTTGGAACCTAGCAAGAGTGATTCGTGGTTCTTCCCTTATCCCAGCCCTCATCATTAATAACTTCATCCTTTGCCTATACTCCTCTATGGTCATATTTTTTTGTTGGAGTCGTTGAAGCTTGTCCATCAACTCCCTATAATAATAAGAGGGTACATGTCTCTTCCTACAAGCACTTCGGAGTGCATTCTAATACCTAACTTGGGGCTCACTGTGTATTCTCCTATCTCATACTAGGGAAGTCCACCAATACATAGTATGCCCTTGAAACCTAAGGGTTGTCATGGGAACCCTTCTCTCCTCATGTATTTTATGACACTCAAATAATTGTTCGACCTTCATCTCCCATTCTAGATATTCTTCCACATTGTCCTTATTGTGAAACGGAGGAAGATTGACCTTAGGTTCCCTAAAAGGTTCCATCCGAGGTCTATAATGCCTAGGTGGAGATGGTTGATAGTAATCATCATTATGATGACTACTATAGTTTTCTAAATGGGGGTGAGGTTCCTCATGTTTTTCATTTCTTCTCCTAGAACCCTCACTTTTATTTTTATTTTTATTTTTGTTTTTATCTTCTAGTAATTAGGCCAACATAGCCCTTATTTCTTCATCTTTTTTTTCAATTTTTTCTTTTAATGACCTAAGTTTATCCCTAACCGAAGCATGTTCCCTAGATCTATGATAACTCCTACTCACACTAGAATGACTTGATTGTACATGAGAATGGTCACTCATTTTGTTCAAGAAAGTTTTTCACAAAGATTTGAGAAAATTGTTTTTACAAAAATGAAGTGACAAAGGTTTTCACAAAAGAAGTTTTCAAGTGTATGTTGGACCCCTAAGACCAAAGAAAGGTCAACTACTCATTAGAGACTCACCTAGATTTTTGCCACAGAAAATTAAATTCTAATTGCAAAAGTTTAACACAAAGTAAACTAGACGAACCCTAGGATGAAAGTCCAAGTGGCACTTAATGAGCCTCTTGGGACACTTTCACAAGACTAAAGGGTGTAATATTTACAATGTTTAAAGTGGGAGATGGGATTGTACAAAAACATTTTCCCAAGACACCCAAGAAAATTTAAGGTACAAAGAAAAATTACAACAAGACAAATACATGACAAAAATTAACAAAGGAAATTAATGACTCAAAAATATGTTGTAATAAGTCTTTTGTGACAGAAATGGTTCGTGGCTATTTGGTTTTGTTACGAATTTGGAAAACTTTTCGTCACAACTTGGAGGCTCCTTTCCGGTTTGTGTTTATACTCTTCTTGTATCCGGCTTTGGCTTCTAAGCTCCTTCAAAGACAACCTTCTCCTTTCTTCTTAGTAACACCTAAGATTCTACCTTGAAGAAGAAGTGATCTTTTAAAAGAACAAGGGAAAAACACAACAGTTATCTTGTCTTAAGAGCTTTAAGATGCAAATAATCAAAACACAAGAAAATCTTACACAAGGAATGGACAAAATCAAATTATTAGATTTATTGTTTGACAAAACTTAAGAAATCCAAAAAAAAAAAACAAGCAAGAAAATATGGCAAATTTTAAAAGAAGACACTCAAAAATGTCGAAGAATGGATCTAAAATGGATTACAAAAATAAAGGACTCAAGTAGAATCACTTATAAGACTCAGTTTAAGCTTGGTCAAATCTTTAACCTCTTTTAATACCTGCAATTTTCAATTCCACTATTCTCTTAAGGGGTGTGAGACTTAATCAAGAGTTGCAAACATATCTTTCAAACTTTTTTGACTAAGTCTCGACTTTTCTCTTTTAATTTCTTTTATTTTCAACTTCACAATTTCAATTGTTTTTGTTCTTATGAGACCTAACCTTTTTTTTCACTAATTCAATTTCAATTCAAATTGCATGATATTATTTTCACATAAGTCCCAACATTATCATGGCATATTATCAACAATTGATTTAACTTCCAAAATTCAAAAGAAGTCTAGACTAATCTTGGTTTGTACACGAAATTTTTTGTTTAGAATTTTGTTAATGATCTAATAGCAAAAGAATACTCAAATATACAAACCACACATAAACATACTTGGTTTGGTTCCTAGCATAAACTCGATTTCAATTTTCTTCAAAAAAAATTTTCTAACACATGTGGGACAACTTCTATGAAATTATGAACATATAAAGACTAAACATGACTATCTAATACAACATGGAAGATTATAAAATTGAAATCTAAGTAAACAAAATTTTATGGTTACTCATGCAACATATTAAGAACTTCCTAAACATACAATTGATTTAGGAAATGAACTAAGCAAATCAATTATAAGAAAAATATTAAAGACACAAAAACTGACTACATATGACTCAAAAGACTCAAGCAAGTCCATAAGACAAGAAAGAAGAAAAGATGAAGGTACTTATCTCTTAAAGACCTTCATGACTAGTTTATGATACCAAATTGATGGAAATAATCTCCTCCTTCCAACAAAGAGACGCCCAAGTCCACACTTCAAGTGACCGAAAATTGTTCCCCATGTCTCAAAAGAAGACTTGGAACTAGCTCATCCAAGGAAGGTTCCTTGTTTAGGAGACAAGGAGAATAAAATCTCCAAATGAGACTTAAAGTCAAGTCAAAACAGAATCTATCAAACAAGCCAAATTGAGTTCTACATCAATTGTTTCTCACTTTGAATTTTTCTTCTCCTTTTTAATTTCGATTTTGTACTTTGTGATATTAATTTGTGATTCTAATTTTATTAATCAAATTAAGAATTGATTGAATCTTGATTTGATAATTAAATACAAATTAGATTAAATGATATCAAAATTTATTTCTTTTATTGGGTTTGGTTGATTAATTGAATTTAGTTAATTATTTAAATTTAGATTGAAATCGTTAGAGAATTGTTATAAAAATATTGTTTAGTTGTTGAAACCATGAATAAATCTATTTTCCTCCTTTTATTTTGATTTTACTATTTGATTTATGCTTCAAATTTTAGATCTTAAAATGCCTAAAATCCCAAATTTAACTTATATGAAAAAGAAAACTAAAAATTGAATATAGTTTAATAGTCTTTGGATGAATAACCTAAATTTGGAGATTATATTATAAAATATTTTAACAAAACTTACAATATTTAAATATTTCATGAATAATATTGTCGCCATCGATGTGTAATTATCTGTAATTGCCATTGTGCGTGCTCACCACCATTTGCGCTCATATTTATTCTCATCGTTCGCAATCATAGTCATCACCGTCACAAGTTGCCACTGTCCAAGCCCCACCACTGATTTTGTTTGGTTCTCTTTCATTTTAGTTGGAGTTTCTCTCACTTCAATTCGTTTGGTTCCTTTTATAATTTTTTTTTCCTAGCATTTCATTATGATTCACTCAATTGATTCTTCTCACATTTCCATCACTTGGTCTAGTCTAAAGTTCTTTTTTTCAAACCTGTTCCATTTTGTTGTTGACTTAATTTTTACTTATTTTGTTTATCTTGATTATTTTAATATAGAAACTGAAATTTTAAAATTGTGGAAGTGATGGTGAAAATGTAATTACTTCCATCAAGAAATAAAAATGCTACAAGAAAAGGATATAACATAGATTCCTCTATGGCAAATACACAAGGCGAATCTACTTAAATATCACACGAATCTACTTTAGACTCTCAAGTATGATGAGATGAGTTACAAAGCATAATAAGTTTGAAAATAAAGAAACCAAAACTCAGCACAAGATTCCCAGAAAAAACAAGATCTGTTAAACATCTCCAAGCATAGTGCTTTCATTAGTACATGCTGGAGAGATCTCAGGTACAAAATATTAAAAGTGAAAAACTAGAAAAGCATTAAAAGGTTGTCTTTCCTTTCATCATGCTCTCTCTGAGTCAAGGACAAAAAACCCTTATGTTAGGTTCTTCAAACACTTCATTGCAGTTCAAGTATTCATAATATTACTAATATATAATATCAATAATCAACCAATAGGAGCTTTTTCTCAATAACTAAATCCACCACTATGCTGAATCTTTCTATAACTTCTCATGAACTACCATATCACCAGTGTCATCAAATCACAATAGCAACCATATGATAAGAAAAAAGGGTTTTACTGCTGCCAACCATACTGTTGATTGCGGTTACCACCCATCATGTTTGATCCACGTCCTGTTGCTGATCCACCATAAGGTGCGCCTTGAGGATAATTTGGAGCTCCAACTCCATAGCCACTACCTCCCCCGCCACGTGGACCACCACCGGGCATACCATTTGACGCATAAGGTGCACCCCGGCCTTGGGGAGGATATGACCCACTGCCATAACTGCCACCACCACCTCCTCCTTGACCTCCACGATTTTGGTGACTGTATCCCCCACCAGGGTTCCCACCAGGGTTCCCACCAGGAGGATATCTTCCAGGCCCACCAGAGGGACCTCGAGGCTTCCCATAGTGATGGCTAGGTCCTGCAGCAACTGCTGGTTGAGACCCATGAATAGGGTGGTTAGGACCTTGCCGCATTTGAGGTTGCTGTTGCCCAGTCTGCTGAATTGGGGGCAGGCGTGTGTGCTGTTGAGGATGCTGCATTTTAAGACGTTTGGCATTTTCTTCGTTTTGTCGTGGCTGGTGGCGCTTTTTCTTGGTCTGGAACTCATGTGATGACTCATATTTGGGTAAACTAAGTCAACCATAGATGTAATAGTGAGGTGAAAAAAAAAAACTGTAAATGATTGTTGATAGAAGTAACATATCTAAATGGGGAAATAACACATGGTATATGTTGAATATAGTGAAAACTAGGTATAGGATTAATTCTCCTTTTGTGTCTTAAAATACACATAGGATAATATATTTATAGTTAAGAGTAAGTAAATATGATAAAGTATATATTGTGACTTATAATATCTAGAATATCTAAAATACCTAACCATATATGTAAGGAATCAAATCTCAACAAGCAATAACAAAGGAAAAGAAACAACATTGACTGCTGATATGCAAGCTGACCATTTGAGCCTTCATTCTTTAATTGGGTTCTATCAATATATTCATTTCATCCTATGAAGATAACATACTTCCTCCAAAGAAAACTAATATTATGAAAATAAATACTCAATAGCATGGGAGGCCATACCTCTTAGGATCACATGGTAATGGATCAGTCCAGAAATATTCAGCATCAAGTGCATCCTTAGCAGTAATTCTCTGTCAAGAAATCAAATTGAAAAAAAAATATATATAGTCAGATGCATATCAATAATAGTCATCCTAGTGAATACTGAATAATACTATCACTGGATTACACCAAAAAGGAACACAATGTATTTCATGTATTAAAACACTTCTTCCAATCCTTTTATAAAAAGCAAATAACTAATTCATCAAGACTAATGAAAATAGTTATATTAGTTGATTTTAATTAATAATGTAACCGATTAAATTCTATTCAAGAACATAACCATAAATATTATTTGGTAAAATTGGTGGTTATAGTTAATAACACTACTTGTAATTTAAGAAATAACCTTTTCTACCTAGCCTAATGAATTCATAAGCTTACATGGACAATGAGTATGCCATTGATAGACATGAATATATATTATTTCTCAGTTTAGCACTATGCCATTTTTTGTTATTCATTTTTCTTTCATCATTTTGATCACATAACATTAGACACTCAAAAACCAGATGATATCGAAATGTGTCAACATGTTAGATAATTGTAATAATAGTATATACAAACATTCAATCAAACAATATTTATTATTTCTCAGTTTAGTCTCACCGACACTACGCCTTTTTCTATTATTCTTTTTCTTTTCAACATTTCGATCACATAACATCAGACACTCAACCAAAACCAGATGATATCAAAAGGCAATTTACCAATATGTTAGATAACTACAAGAATAGTAGATACAAACATTCAATTAAACAATATTAAAAGATACTGTGTAATGGAAGGAAACAGGAATAGTAGGTATTTGAAAGTTGAAACAGATAAAATAAAATAACCTGTAATAGGTCATTTGTAAATTTAAAAAATTAAGGAGGTTAGCAGTTAGTGGTCTGACAGATTTAATTAATTTTGGTGGTTAATTTTGTTAGTTGTTAGAATTAGGAACCAAAGATAACAAGTAGTAGTTAGAAATCCTAGCCTATATAAGAAAACAAATCTCTTGTATCTTGTTCATCAATAATAACATTTCAATAGTTATATGTCCCTTTCTTCTCTGAGTTCCGAGAGAAAGTGAGGTTAGGAGAGAATTTCATATTCAATCTTAACAGGTGGTATCAAGAAGCTAGGAAACAAGATCATGGTGTCAAATAAAGAATTGGAGATAAAGGTCGATTCTTTCGAAAAAAATTTCACGGATTCTCAAGAACAAACCCAGAAAACCCTAGAATCTCTAGCCAAAGCAATCGAAGAACTCACTGCAAAGGTGGCTGCGTTATCATCAAACACAGATGGAACTCCATCAGATTATGAGAGCGAAACTTCTGGGCATAAGGAAAACTCAATTTTGAATCGAACACATATTCAATTTCCTTCCTTCGATGGTACTAACTATAGAGATTGGAGAGCCATAGCAGAGCAGTTTTTTGAATTGGAGGAAACTCCAAAACAGCAAAGGGGAAAATTGTTGCTCTTATCTATGGAAGGAAAAGCTTTCGCATGGCAAAGACATTATATGAAAAACCTAGAATTCAACCAAAAATCTTGGACAGAAATTCTTCATGATGCTGGAACCAGATTTGATGATGGAAGGTTTGATGATCCAATTGCAGAAATCTCCAAGCTAAGACAACAAGATTCCCTAAGCCAATTTCTGGAAAAATTTGACAACCTCTTGGCAAGAGTCTCAATCACTAAGAACATGGCTCTCAGTTTTTTCCTATCAGGTCTTGAACCACAATTGGAAAAATCTATTCGCCTGCATACTCCAAGAAACTTGCATGAAGCTGTCAGATTTGCAAAATTACAAGAAGAAATCTTGAAGGAATTTGAAAAGAAGATGTTACAAGGGGGAAACAATTCCAATGACAATCAAATTCGTTATTCCAAATCTTGGACCAATTCATATTCTCATTATAGAAATCAACCCATTACAAGTTTGCAACAATCACTTCCTCAACAATCTTCTACTTCATCACCCAAACCTGAAAACACGGAGAATCATCAATCAGCAATATCTAGAAAAGATGTCAGTGACAGAATTTCTAGAGGACTATGTAGATTCTGTGGTGAAAAATGGGAAAGGAGCCATAGACAGAAGTGTAAAGTATGGGGTAAGTTAAATGCCATTTTCTGTGAACAAGAAGTTATTGAAAGCGAGGAAGATGATATCAACAGTAAGGAGGACGATAACTCTGTCCTTGAAAGGAGTTTAAACATGCTTAATGATGCAAAAGCCCATATCTCATTGCATGCATTAAGGGGTATTGCTGGAGGAAATACATTGCAACTACAAGGCTTGATTAAGAGGCAACATATACCATTCTTGATGGATACAGGTAGTACACACAATTTTATATCGGCAAAATGGGTAAAGACATTGGGTCTCAAGTCTCAATTTGTCAAGGACTTCCCAGTAATGATTGCTAGTGACAAACCGGTGATGATCACAAAAAAGTGTGATGCAGTTGAGTGGAAGTTTGGTGATAATTCATTCACTGCAGATTTTTTGGTTCTTCCTGGATCTTCATTTGGGGTAATACTTGCCATGCAATGGTTCAAAGGACTAGGGGAAATCACATGGAATTGTGCCCAATTAACTATGAAATTCAGTCATCTTGGCAAGCAAATATTTCTTAAAGGAGAACCACAACAAATTGCAATGATTGATGGAACTGGAAAGTTGAGGGCAATCACTATGCAAACAATGCTATTACCTATCCTAGGACCATTTTGCTTTACCATCACCATACCTGATACTAAAAAGGAAATTGGCCCTGAATGGCAAGCTGAATTGGAGGATATATTGCAAAGTATTCACAATTGTTTGTAGAACCTACAACATTACCACCTAATAGAAGATATGACCACAAGATTGAGTTAGTCAGTGAAAAGCCAATCTGCCTCAAATCTTACAGATATCCCAGAGCACAAAAAGAAGAAATAGAAAGACAGGTTAAAGAAATGTTAAAGACTGGTTTCATAAGGGAAAGTGGAAGTTCATTCTCGTCACCCTTAGTTCTGGTTAAAAAGAAGGATGGAAGTTGGCGATGTTGTATAGATTTTAGGCGATTGAATGCCATGACAATCAAGAATAAATTTCCTATTCCTCTCATAGAAGATCTACTGGATGAGCTTAATGGTGCTGCATACTTTACAAAACTCGGATTTAAAGAGTGGCTACAATCAAGTGAGGATGCATGAAAGTGATATCCACAAAGCGCTTTTAGAACTCATAGTGGTCACTATGAGTGGGTGGTACTTCCATTTGGGCTAAGTAATGCTCCGGATACCTTTCAAAATTTGATGAATGACATATTTCGGGAATATCTTAGAAAATTCATTCTTGTTTTTTTTTATGATATCTTGGTTTACACCAAGACATGGGAAGATCACATGGTTTGTTTGAAAAAGGCATTACAGGTTTTAGAAGCAAACAACTTGGTGTTAAATTACAAAAAATGCAGTTTTGGAAAGAGGAAGATTCAATATCTAGGCCATGTTATTTCGAGTTCAAGGGGTAACTCCTGAATTGGATAAGATAACAACGAGTACAACAGTGGCCTACCCCTAAGAATGTGAAGGATTTAAGAGGATTTCTTGGGCTATCCAAGCTACTACAGGAGATTCATCAAAAATTATGGTTGCATTCGTTGCTCCCTTAACAACCTTGCTTCAAAAAGACAAAGAATTTACATGGAGTGACAAAGCTGAAACGACCTTCTTAGCACTCAAACAAGCCTTGATCACAACACCTGTATTATCTATGCCGGACTTCTCACTTCCATTTACTATTGAAGCCGATGCTTCTAAAACGAGAATTGGAGCAAGTACTCATGCAACAAGGGCATCCTATAGCTTACATCGATAAAGCAATGGGACAAAGGTTTCAATTATTATCTCGCGTACGAGAAAGAATTTTATGCAATATTGTTTGCGGTAAAGAAGTGGCAACACTACTTCCTAGGCCAACATTTTACTATTCGAACCGACCAAAAAGCTCTAAAGCACCTCATTGAACAATCACCTACAACTCTAATGCGAACTGGGATTGGAGAAATTAATGGGTCTAGACTTCGACATAGATTACAAAAAAGGCAAGGATAATGTTGTGGTCGATGCTTTATCCCGGAAAACAAGTATTTGGTCAACTCAAGGTCATCTTACGGGCAACATCTGAACTTGTAGAAGAAGTGAAAATGACTTGGCAAACTGATATGAAACTGAGAAAAATTATTGATAGAATCAGGGTGACACAACTACCTTACAAGTACTATAGTTTTGGTAATGCATTGCTAAAAAGAAAAGGCAAATTGGTAGTTGGGGAGAATGTAGAGCTAAAAGCAAAAATCCTCAAGCATTTCCATGATTCAACAATAGGTGGTCATTCTGGAGCAGACCAAACATACAAAAGGATTAAGGAGCATTTTTATTGGAAAGGTATGCAACAGACTATAAAGAAATGGGTGCAGGAATGCCAAGTATGTCAAAGATTCAAATCACCTAACCAAGCACCTGCTGGCTTACTTCAACCACTGCATATTCCAGAGAAAGCTTGGCAATCTATTTCCATGGACTTTATAGTGGGACTCCCCAAATCTAATGGAATGACAGTAATATTTGTGGTCATTGATAGATTCACAAAATATGCACACTTTCTGCCTCTACAACACCCCTTTGGAGCTGCTAAAATTGCAGAAATATTCCTAGACAACATTGTCAAGTTACATTCTTGGCCAATAGAAATAGTGTCTGATAGAGATCCCATTTTTCTTAGTACATTCTGGTCTGCATTAATGAAAGCAAATAAGGTGAAGCTACTCAGATCAACAGCCTTTCATCCTCAAACAGATGGCCAATCAGAGGCATTGAATAAGGCACTAGAGGGATATTTGAGATGTGTGACAGGAGATCTTCCCCAACAGTGGACAAGGTATTTACCAATGGCTGAACTTTGGTATAATACCAAATTTCACACAGCCATTCAGATGACACCATTTGAAGCACTTTATGGATATAAACCTGCAGCACCTTGTCCAATATTACAAGAAGAATCTCTCATTGAAGCTGTCGAGTACACTATGAAGACAAGAGAACAATTAGCTAGAGTATTGCATTATAATTTGACGAAAGCACAAGACAGGATGAAGCTTTATGCTGACATGAAACGAATTGATAAGGAGTATAACATTGGTGATTTGTTATACTTAAAAATCCAGCCATATAAACAACACTCATTGGCAAATTCTTCATACCACAAGTTAGCAGCTAGGTACTACGGTCCTTACAAGGTTATAGAAAGGATTGGCAAAGTGGCCTACAAACTTGAACTACCAGCAGGGTCCAAAATCCATAATATTTTTCACATCTCATTGTTGAAACAGCACCATGGAAATCAACCAGTATCCGCAACACTTCCTCACTTAACAGAAAATGGTGAACCTGAGATGCAACCACTAGTAATACTTGACAGAAGATTGAAGAAGAGGAACAACAGAGCTGTCACAGAAGTTTTAATTCAATGGCAAGACACAAATCCGGAAGATGCCACATGGCATGAGTTACAGCAAATGAAGGAAAAGTTTCCAGAATTCCAGTGGACTTCGATATAGTTCGACCTTGCGGACAAGGTCTTGTCTTCATGGGAGGGAAAGTTGTAATAGGTCATTTGTAAATTTAAAAAATTAAGGAGGTTAGCAGTTAGTGGTCTGACAGATTTAATTAATTTTGGTGGTTAATTTTGTTAGTTGTTAGAATTAGGAACCAAAGATAACAAGTAGTAGTTAGAAATCCTAGCCTATATAAGAAAACAAATCTCTTGTATCTTGTTCATCAATAATAACATTTCAACAGTTATATTTCCCTTTCTTCTCTGAGTTCCGAGAGAAAGTGAGGTTAGGAGAGAATTTCATATTCAATCTTAACATAACCCAACATATATTTAGCAATTAATAAATAACCTGAGCAGGATCAAGTGTCAGCATCTTCTCCAACAATTCCAGAGCATGCCGATCAAAACTACAATTCAGTCACAAGGAGAGAAGCTATTAAGATCGACAGGCACAAATGTAAAATAAATTATATTTTCATTTGTGTGGGGAGGAGATAAAAACGTATAGAATTATTTATGCTCATACTGACACTTACTGTCTGAAAACTTCCCGGAGACGTCTTTTCATTGGTCTTGTTGGCTTAAACTGATTATACCAGGGAGTCTTCGAAACACCAGGCCAGTTCACTTCATCTGGTGCTCCACATAGCTCAAAAATCTTATTTAATTGTTCTGGCTACAATAGTTACAAAAACATACATTACCTTCCAGAGGAACTATAAACAATTACCACATGTATAAGAAAGATATGGAATGAAAATAAAACATAGGCAATCAATTCTTTAATAGTATTAATGTTAGATCTAGAAATAAGCAGGACAGTGTCCTTACCATGCTATATAACCCTGTTCAGTAAGGCAAGTAATATGAAGTATCTTTTCAACTATCCACCCATTAAAACATAGTTGTACGGTAAAGTGAGTAGTGATAATATACTGGACTAAAGTGTGCCTAGCCATTAAACAATTCCCTAAGAACCCGTAATAATTTACCCCTAATTTCTCACGAGCGTTATATATTATTACTAACCTCATCTTTTCCAGGAAAGATAGGCTTCCCATGAAGAAGCTCTGCGAAGATGCACCCCACAGACCACATATCTACAGCTGGCCCATACCTTGTTGTCCCAAGCAGCAGCTCAGGGGGTCTAAACATACATGAAATAATCAATATGTATATAGCCATATGTTCATGATGCCACCCTCCCAAATAATTAGTCAGGTCAAAATTAAAAACTTATAAGAATATCAATATACCTGTACCATAATGTGATGACACGATTTGTAAGATTTGCATTGTGCTCGTTAGAAAATGACCGTGCCAATCCAAAATCAGCAAGTTTCAGATTACCTTCATTATCTATGAGAAGATTTGAACCTGTAATAAAACATAACACATTAAATAGAAGAAATAGATTTGATAAGATCTGTAGCCAAAACCTGTGTATGTATATCTGGAAGACATAGGCAGAAGGACACCTTTGATATCTCGGTGAAGTACTTGATTTACGTGACAGTAATGCAGCCCGGTCAGAAGCTGTCTCATGTAACACTAGGGAAGGAAAAACAACTCAGGCATAATTAAAAAACTAAGAATATACCAATTAACACTTAGAATTAACAGTAATACCTTGATTTGGGGAACTGTAAATCTCATCCCTGGTCGGTCAGCAAGACCTGTCAAATCATGGTCCATGTATTCAAAGACCATGTAGATGCCACCTTTATATTTGTTACCGTCTGCACAATTCCAGAAAACAGACAAAACAAAGATATAGTAGGAACTATGGCAAAAAAAAAAAAAAAAAAATGAATTCATAGGGAGGTGATGGAGATATTCCGACAGTCGAAACAGTAAAGCAAATTACATGCTTCTGTCTCATTGAAATAAGCAATTGACTATTATCATGAAATGAATAACTTGCCTGGCCTCCCTTGTTCATCTTTTTCAGGACCTGTAAAATACCCAATGTTTAGAAATTCAATTGAAGCCTACATAATTTGATAACAGTGAATTTAGCTCATTGAAAAATGTACCTGGAGAAGTCACAACTTCTTTCAACTTAATTACATTTTCATGGTGTAGTTTCTTTAGAATTTTTATTTCTCGAATAGCTGTTATAGGAAACTGCAATGACAAAATTCAATGTACGATTCAGAAGGGAGATTAACAGAGCAACAGATAGCTCTATTGCAACTTCAGATTTCTTCCACTGAATTGCATAATCAAATGTTTAGAAATCAGCAAATAAACACCAAGAACATCATAGGTGAAGTATCAAGCCAAGGGCATTAAACTATTAACATACAAGTTATGCTTCCATAGATTTAATATATAATATATAATGAAATATCAGAAATGATGTCAAAGATATACTCCTTCTCTCTCATTGTCCATTCGAATCTTCTTCAGAGCAACAATTTCACCAGTTTTGATCTCTCTAGCCATGTAAACCTGACTGCATGCAAAAGCATTTAAAACTATTATTTTCCTTCTAAAAATATCAGCACTGAGGTAGAAACAAGCCAAAGATAAAAGTTTAAAGCATTTCATGCAAGTCCAATGTCATATAAAAGAACAAATAAGTATACGAACCAAAAAGGTGTGAATAAGCTAGACAAGCCTGGTATCCAAATTCTGAGTCATTATGGTCCTTTAACTATTAAATTTGATTCAATTTAGTCTTATAGTTTACTAGCCGTTCAAAAAGTCGCAAAGTATATTATATAACCATGGAAAAAATGTATTTTATAACCGCCATAAAATGTAAAATACTAACTGTCTTACTTCCAAGCGAATTTAAAATATAAAAGTAATGAAATTTAAAAAATAAAATAAAGGACCAAACTGAATTTAAACAAAGATTGCAAAAGGATAATAAGAACCAGTTTAACAAAGTGTCATTTATGTTCTTAATAAGATGTTAAACATTTCAAGGTCACTTTGCTGACAAATAAGGCTAATTTCTTGTACTCTGCACTTAATTCTAGGAATAAAATTTGGAATTTAAATCAATGGCTAGAATATGCTACAGCTACTTCTCTCCAGAAGTCAAAAGTTAATAGCTTCGACATTATTTTAATGAACTTCTCCTCAAAGACTTCTAAGAAAAAAAAATTAATGTAAAATAAATTACACTTATCCCAAAAATTAAAATCAACTTATGCAAGGAATTAGATGAAAAAAGTTGTATAGAAATTATAGCACAGTTAATTATAATCTATCCCATACACTCAATTAATTTTACCTAATTTTCTTGTCCTATAAGTACTACGAGAAAAATTATCTAAATAGGGCCTAGTCTCCCTTCCTTGTTTAAATTTCTCTCTCACACTCAAACCTTATTCAGCAAACACAATGTTTTTCAATCCAATCCCCAGAAAAAAAAAAGTAAATATATATATATATATATATATATATATATATATGTATTGTATATATATATATATGTATATATATATATGTATATATATATATATATGTATATATATATATATGTATATATATATATATGTATATATATATATATGTATATATATATATATGTATATGTATATATATATATATGTATATATATATATATATATATATATATATATATATATATATATATATATATATATGTATATATATATATATGTATATGTATGATAACATGATCAAATTAAAATGTAAGTTGTTGTTCAAAATCACTAACCACATCACACTTCTACAAATAAATAAACAATAACAATACAAAATAAGTAAAGTTTGAGAATAAAAATGTAAGAGCAGGAATTGTCCATGGTGAGAAATGAGAGAACACCTACCCATACGTGCCCTCGCCAATTTGCTCCAACTTCTCGAAGCAATCAACGCTTCGGGACCCCCACGAGGGTGACTCGTTCACGTTGAGTTGTCCTGGGGCTGCCATAGCCATTACAACTCCTCGAAAACCCTAGTGGGTCTTACTTTAAGCCAAAAGAACCAAAAAGAACACTAAAACAGGTGATAATCGTATAGGGTTTGGTTGTTCCTGGGCTTTTTCAGCGAATCAGTAAGACACTTTTAAACTTTCTCCCAGAAGATGTCCCAGAAATGGTGGTAGAAAATGTGAAATTGAAGTAGAAATTTCAAGTGTGAGGGAGAAGGCTTCTAACTTCGTTTGTTTATTGTTCTGTTCCAATAAATAATATTTATTATTTCAGAAATTGTCATGTTTTAGTGTATTTTAATTAGATTAGTTTTTTTCTAAACAAAAATTATATTATTATTTGATAAAATATAAATTTATAAGTTTGATAAATGTATTATGATAGCATAATTTTTATTTTTTATATAATTTATTATTTATATGTAATAAAATTTATTATTTATATCAAATAAAATTATATTATTATTTGATAAAATAATTTATTATAATTTTAAAAGGTATATCGATGTGTAATTATATAAATTTACATAATTTTAAATAATTTAATGCATATTATAAATTATAATTACAAAATTATATAAGTTATACTAATTATAAAATGATATAAATTATATAACTTTGTAATTTTCTATTTTATCATTATTTAAATATATAATTTTATTATATTTTATAAATTTTATATTTATTATAATTTTAAAATTTGATTATATAAATTAATATCATATAAATTTAAGAATAAAAAAGGATTTTTATACAAATATTTGTTTTTAATATAATATAATAAAATATTTTATTTAATTTGTATATAATATTAATTATTTTATTAAATTTTTAATCATCACCATTAAAAAATTAGTTAGTTTTTATGTCATGTAGAATCTTATGTGATATGTATATTGATAGGTGTAATTTTATTTTCTATAGAAGATTATTTCTAATCTCAATCGTTAATTGAACTTTTTCTTGGATAAATATTGAGTTATACTGGATGAATGATTTTAAAAGATGTCACTAAATAAAGCTTGAATGTACATAGATAAATATCTATATTACTTAATAATAATAATTCACGTGACATGAATTCTAACTGTGATGGTTAAAAAACTTATTAGAAATTAATTAATATATAAAACTAAATAAAATATTTTAATCATGTTAAATATAAGTAATTATTATAGTTATTATATAAAAAATATATTTTATTATAAATTAAATTACTTATATAAAATTTATTAAAGTTTTAATTCATAAAATATATTTTTCAGTTGTAAAAGTTTTAGATTTTTAAAATTTATTATATAAATTTATAATTAAATTATATATATACATATATATATATATATATATATATATATATTATGTAATTTATTAACTTGTAGTTATAAAATATATAATTCTAAGTAAGAAATCCTAGGTAATATTTGTAAATAATTATTTTATTTGTAATTTTTTTAATTGTCTATCACAATAATAAATAAAGATGATATCATATTTAAAAATTTGAAGATATTTTTATTCTTACTTATTATGAATTATATAAGTTGATAGTTAAAATTAAATAATTATAATATTATTTAGATTGAAATTTTATAAAATCATTTTGTAATTATATTTAATTTTGCAATAATATTTTATCTTTTAAGATATTGAGAAATAATTATATAATATTTTTTATTTTATCTTTCTTTTATTTTATTTTTTACTTTAATTTTTTTTAATATTTCTTTGAATCAACCAAGTCGAAGTACAATCGGAATTATGTCAAACTAGGTTGAGTAAAATCAAATTGAATGAGTCAAATCAAGATTATATTAAGTGGACTTAACTTAAGTTAAGTTTAACCAACTTAGGTCAAGTTGGTCTAGGTTAGTTTGAATCGAGTCAGGTCAATTTAGATGAGGTCCACTAAGGTCAAATTAGAACAACTTAAGTCGAGTATGAGCATCTTAAATTTAGTCCAACCAACTTTGGTGAGCTTGGACTAGCTTAAATTGAGCTAGAGTAAGTTGACTTAAATATGTTCAACTTAAATTTAATTATAAAATTAATATAAATTTTATCTAATTTAAATCTTAATTTAAACCATATTGGAAGAATCCAATTTAATTTAATCTAGTTACATGGATATGAATTTTGGTTTCAATTTTATTGGATATGAATTGGATATATATTAGAGCTACATTAAGTTCAAAGTGTGCTCAATCTAGAGTTATATATAAGTACTTTTCTAAATCATTTAAAATTTGAGATACACTAAATATTTTCTTGTGCATTAACGAAGGACATTAAGGATATGAAATGTTATGTATAATATATATTGTCACTATATGATGTAAAATAAAGTAAGGTGTAGAATTTTAAGTAATAAAGTAAGCAAATCTAATGAAAATTTTCACTAGACATTAAAATAGTTTTTTATCTAGATGTGAAGGTTCATTTCTAAGGATTATGGAAGGAGGAGGAGATGGAATAAAACTAGAAAAGTATAAAGACAAGGGCTGGAAAAATGGACCATCCCCTTGGATAAATAAATGAAGTGAATAAATAAAGAAGAAAAGATGAAGAGAAGAGAAGTATGGTGGTGGTGGAGTGTTGGCACGCCACTAGGGGATGAGCCACCCTAGATAAGTGGTGGTTGTCGCCACTTGAACCAAGGTTCAAGATAAGACACTCAAAGATATGGAACACTCTAAGAAACCTCACAAACTTGTCATAAATGTTTAAACTAGTTACATGAAGGAAAGTCTTCTATTTATAGGCTTTTAGGGGAGGGACCTAGATGAAATTACAAAAAGGAGACATAAACTTAACCTAAACCTAAAGAATAGAGTCCCCACGGTCCAAATATGTTAAATTCGTCCTAGCCCACCAAAAATACCTCTAAAGGTGTGGAGAACATAAAAAAAGAGGTGTGCTTCCTTTTGGGTTGTCCCAAGCCTACCAATCCTGCAATCCAAGTTTCTTCTTCTCCAAAAAGGGGTGTAGGACATAAAAAAGGAATGTCCTACACCTTTGGGCAGCCCATGCAACCATCCTATATGTCCAAGTCTTCTTCTCCACCAAAAAGAGGTGGTGGTCTTCAAAAAGGAGGTGCATAAAGTGGTCCTACAAAAAAAGTACGAAAATGAGTCTCTAAAATTTAAGACAAAAATGCTAAGAAAATTCAAAGTGGAAGGTGAGGAAGAGTCTCCCTTTTAGTCATGCTCCTATTGATCATCTAAGAGATGACCTCTCCAGTCTCCGGGACATCTAGGAACTCATCACTATGGATTTTCCTCAAAATTTATGTCTTGTAGTTAGGTTGAGGCATCAACGCAAAACATTTTTTATTTTACATAAATAGCATTTGTGATATTCATCCTCTTGCTTTATTATCCTCGAGTTCTCTTGTGTTTTCCTCCCATTGTCATTCTCTTTAGTGTTTTGGTTTCTTACTCTATGTATGTCTTTTGCTTTATTCATATTGTTCCATTTTTCTCTATTATTTTGTTTTTGTACTATAGTGACTCTCAATATGGTCTCACCTTGTAGAACTCCAAACTAGGTTGGTCCGGCCACGCTCTTATAAATACTTGTGAGTTTAATGAGAAGGGTATGGTTATTCTGTTTCCCAAAAAATCTTATAAAATATTTTCCTCGTAACTAACTTAAGCGTCAGAGTATCTTTGCAGGTACCCCAATCATGAGTGGCCTGATATGAGAACTTACCTCCCAAGATAGCCGGACGAACATTTGGAGAAGATTAAGAGGAAAGGAGTCAAAGGGAAGGTTAGTGTTCGACCTTGTAAGAACATAATTGACACTCACCGTGGGGCCGGACAAAGACACAACCAATGGTATCCGGGCAAAACATGGTGAATGTAGAGAGGCAGAATTCACCAATAGAAAAGACCAGGTTAGTGAGGCAACCCTCTTAGTAAAACTAAGAAAAGAGCTTGAAATTTTCAGAAAGGAAAGCTCCAAAGAAATAATGGGATTGAAAAAAGGAAACGACTAAATCAAAAAGTGACTCGAGGAGAAGGAAGGAGAACACAAACCAAAACGTCTAAGAACATCTAGAATGAGGGACAGCCTGACTAGTTCTCGTCCCCTGTCACCCCTCGCACGAGTCTACGCTCGCTCTAGTATAAGTACGTTGAGGGAAATATCAATTCCCGTACCCACTACGAAGCCATGACAACACCCTTTTGTCGACATAATTATAGAGGTCGCCCTACTAATTTTTAGAAAGGGCTGACAATAGACTAGTATGATGGGACAACGGACCCGAACAAGCACATAGACATTTATGTGACCCAGATAATCCTTTACACCACGGATGACACAATCTTGTGTCGAGTGTTCCCAACCTCATTAAAAGGCGCAAACTAAATTCGTTCACTAGGTTGCCCTTGTATTCAGTTGACTGTTTCAAAACCCTAGTGGCTAATTTTGGAACCCAATTTGCTACCATCCGATCACATCGTCTTACATCAATTGCCTTCATCAACATAAGACAGGAGAAAATTGAAACCTTCGGGCTTTCATGGAGAGGTTTGGGAAGGTAACCCTTAATATAAGAAACCTGAACCTAGAGGTTGCTTTGCGCACTTCGTAATAGCCTTGAAGTTGGGCCTTTCGCTGACAACTTGTGTAAAAAGCCAGTAGGTGACCTAAACGAGTTGAAAAGAAGAGTGAAGAAGTTCATGCAGTTGGAGGAATTGAGGGAATACCACAATGAAGCTAGGGCTAGCTATTCAGTGGACGTCCAACCGGTCGGAAGGGATTGAGGAAAGAAAATGCAACCTCATAACACGTACATGACACCCCTTTTGAATGCTAACCAAACACGAATCATCGAGGAAGCATCAAACGCAGATCTAATATGCACAATGAGAAAGGTCCCAATCGCTTCCCCATGCCAACTGGAACAAACATTGCCAATATCACAAAAATTACGGGCATACTATCGATGATTGTGTCGTCCTAAAAGACAAAATTGAAGAACTTATCCAGGTGGGGCATTT